CAGCGCTTCCATAATCACATGGGAGCATATCGGCAGGGCCGGGACAGTTGGAGTAAGTTTAAAGCCAAGCAACTCGCTGAAGTCGCGGAGGCTAGATGGCTAACCTCGGTGATCATAGTGGACCCCGGATTCTTTCCCGTGCAAGATCGACTTGTGAACGGAGCGAAAACGCACAGTGGAGCAGCATTCCTCGTCGATATCGGCGGCTCGCTTGGCCATGACTTGGAAGAGTTTGCGCGCAAGCACCCAAAGGTGGAGGGAAGGCTTATCCTACAAGACTTGCCGAGCGTGTTGGCGCAGATAAATCAGCTAGATGATGGGATCGAGCGTATGCCGTACGACTTCTACACCGAGCAGCCCATCAAAGGTTCGTACTCCGTCACCACCTAAGGAAGAAGCGCAACTCACATTTTTGGTTCAGGAGCCAGAGCTTACTACATGCATTCTGTATTGCACGACTGGCCTGATGATGTGAACCGCAAGATACTGGCTCGCGTCACCGAAGCCATGGAGCGCGGCTACAGTAAACTCCTCGTGAACGAGAATGTGATTCCAGCTACCGGCGCAGACTGGCAAGCGACTGCAGAAGACATCATGGTAATGATAACCTCGTCTTCCCTTGAGCGCACCGAGGGGAATTGGCGAGACCTGCTCGAAGGCGCCGGGCTGAAGATCTGCAACATATGGAGCACGGACAATGCACTTGAGAGTCTAATCGAGTGTGAATTATCATGAGCACGAGCTAGAAGTACATTCAAACAATATTGTCCTTTTTTCACCGTCAAACTGGAGATTTGCGGTGGTACGAGTCCATATCGATTGAAACGTCCACGTGAATGGAGCTGTCGAACTCGCGGTATCCTTGGCTGCCCGTTTTGAAAGCAGATCGTCCCGATGAGGAGAAAGGAGTGGAATTTTCATTTGGATGTGTTGATCCGTCAGTGTCCTTGCCCATAAGTCTTAGTATCAGCTTTGGTAGGGGTGGGGCGCAAGCGGCGATGATGACGAGGTCTGTTTCGATGCTGAGGTAAGGTTAGCATGACAGTGTGAGACGTTTAGTTGAGAGAGAGCTCACTAAGTCGTGATGAACAACCAGAAAAGCTCCCACGGTGGATCTAGCGCATGATTCTTCGAGAGTTGAGTGGTTTTGATGATCGCCGCAATCATGGCGAAAAATCCCAAACCTGCGCGTGGTGTTAGAAAAGTTCAGCTGGCCATGTAGGAGAAGTGTCTTACCCATGATCATCATTATGGAAATCTTGCGCGACTTCTTCATCTGCAAGTTCCAAAGCAATTTGACGGGGTAAGCCGCCAGAATGAGATCAGTCAGTGCCGACCATGCTAGGATGCTATTTAGCTTTTGGTCACTTGCTCAATCTCGACTTGGAATGCTCACATCCTGCAATGTATGTGACGACGTCCAGAACAGAGTCAGGGAAGCACTCTGCGGGCAAAAACGGTTGCCAGAGGTGGCTCGGAGGGTTGCACTGAGCGAAGAGCAGAATGAACGAGAGTGCCGACGTGATGAAGAGGACAATAATGACCGCGTACAAGGCCCAGACATCTCGCCTCCTCTTCTGAGGACCCATCAATCCAATTATAAGCATGACAACAGAAAGCTTCGGAAGGCAATATGCGGTGATGCCGGTTGGTCGCAGGAGCGCAGAGTAAAAAAGCGTCTTCTCGACCTGGTCTTTGGTCATGTAAACGACGTGTCCTCCATTGCCGTAGTGTATCGACACTGATCCCAAGGCGATGGTGACAATGTTCAGAATCGCAGCCGCTACGATGATTGCGTCGTCCCATCCAGCCGAGTTGGTCAGCCATTTTCGACTGAATATCCGAAGAGCCACGAAGGCAGTGGCAATGGCAGCGCCAATCCAGCCAACGATGTTGATAATGTAGCCTCTGCTCTCGTTGGGGGGAAGTGGAGGAAGTGCCGGCGCAGCCATGGTTTCGTCTGGCAGTGAACCGTAGGAATGTGGTGCTGGTCGTGTGCCTCAAAGCTAGTGCGAGGATTGTGACATGAGCATCGAGGGGAAGAGACGGAGGAGTCGATATGCAGGCACCTATGCATCCCTTCTTGATGTGTCCAAGACAATTAAAAGGGACGGGACGTAAGCGGACCCCGATGATGGTGTAGGTCCTGGGACGGTTGGCACGTCAAAATCAGCCAACCTTTCGCCACGCTCGTCAATTGCTGTTTGGCGAGCGAGAAGGCAAAACAGTTTCCAATCGATGAGTGTCAATGTCCACGTCTGGAGGAGCCGAGTTGCACGACATCCTAGGTGTTGCGATTGCAACCTTCCTGTCCGCCTGTTTGGGAAGAAAGATTCACGTAATTGGTTGATGATCGGTCCGGAACCCCCACGGAGCGGTTCGAATGGTATCAAAGAGGGCTAGTTGGTCTTGGTGGCCGTTGCTGGCCATTACCAGGTTTCTTGGTGGTGGTGTCGCAGAGCCTTCCTGTGCTCGCTACACATGCAATGTGGCTGCGTGGTAGCTGCGCGGCCAAGTCTCCATGTGCCAATCGAGTCTTGAATCGCATCCACGCCTCGGGATATCAAACTAAATCACCCGCAGCTTCGCTACTGCCTACATACGCGACAACGACCGCCCGCCAATGCGAAAAAGTCGGCATGACATCGCGCCTCTCGGAATCTTATGACCCCATCATGCAGCGTGGCTGCAATGCAAATGTTTGTTATCGATGCCTATCGACTGCCCATGCGGGAAGCAGATGGCCGCCACTCAGGCTTTGAACCAAGCTGTGCGGCATGGCTGCAGAGCAAGGCTTGGTCTTGTCTCGGTAAGTTGTTATGCTCCCATGTAGATCGCGGCACATGCTCGGTTCTGTGAACCACTCTTCTGTCCGACTTTCGTGTGTGGTTTCGTATTGTGCCATGGTCGTCGCCTCATTGCGGACTTGGTTTCGTGTAGCATATTTAGGCGATCGGGCATATCTCTTTACGCTGGTCCATCTCCTAATGGGCTTATGAAATTTTTTGCATGGATCACAGAATTTACGCCTTGCTACTAGGTCGTAAACTCGTTCTGGTTGATTTCTGGCCAATACTGCACGAGCTCCACTTAGTTGTCTCACGTGAGAAACAAGGCGGCAAGGCGGACAACGTCTTTGTCCACAGTTCATAAGCCGGAGGAACATACAAAAGTTCCTTACAGTGGCCTCTCCAATAACCGGTCTCCCTTACGAGTGTAAAAATGTCGGACAATCTAACCCAGACAGAGACCCAAAAGGAGAACGTCGCTCGGGCACTCGACGAGATTGCCAATGTGGGAAAAGACTTTCTGAATGGCAATTCTGAGGCACGTGAAAAGCTGGTCGCAAGTGCTCGGGAGCTTGTTACCGCGGCCGAAACTCCCGTCGAATCACTTCTGTGGCATATCTGGGCACTGGTGCGAACGCCTTTGTGCGCGGGACTTCTCTTGTGCTGACCGATGCGAGGTTAGCCGACCCGTACAGTCGCCGCACGGGCTGCTGTAGATTTAAAGATATTCGAGACTGCGGTTCATGATGGTGGCAAAGCCAAAACCGACTCTGAGTTGGCAGCCCCAACAGGCGCGTCGCCCGCCCTCGTGAAGCGCATTGCCCGGACATGCGTGTCGATGGGTATGCTTGACGAGCAAGGGCCGGGTCTCTACGCACCCAATGACCTTACTCGTCTATTGGCGCGTCCAGAATATGCAGCAGGAATTACCTTCTGGTTCGTTACCAACCCGAAGAGGGACTTGGAACGTTGTGACTTACATCAAAGCCAAGTTTCGACATTACACAGATGCCATTCGCACAATTGCCAACATATCTCAGAGACAACAAGTTTGAAAACCCCCAGAATGGCGTGGATGGACCTTTCCAATATGCCCACAAGCACACCGGTCATGCTTTCGGCTGGCTGATGGCACATCCCGAGGTCTTCCAAGCATTTCACAGCTATGTGCACACGCTGCGGAGGCATCGTCCCAGCTGGGTCGATATGTACCCAGTACAGGAACATCTCGTCCAAGGATTGAAAAGCGGTGATGCATCAGCCTTAGTAGATGTCGGGGGCGGCCTGGGGGAGGCATTGCAGGACTTTCATGCCGCAGTCCCGCAATTTACAGGCAAGCTCGTGCTGCAGGAGCTTCCCGAAGTCATTGCGGCGGCACAGGCGAAAGGAGTAGACAAAGACTCTCGCATCGAGCTGCAGGTGACTGACTTCTTCAAACCGCAGTCTCTGAAAGGCGCTCGTGCCTACTTTATGCGCTCGGTCCTCCATGATTGGCCGGATGAGCAATGTCGAATCATCCTTGGACACTTGAAAGATGCCATGGAGCCGGGTTATTCGAGGATACTGATTAGCGATTGCGTATGAGACTGTACCCGCTGAATTCAACGAAGAGCTGACGTGCTTTGCAGGTACTTGCTGACCAGCACGCGGCCTGGCAGCATTTGTCTCTCGATATGTATATGATGGCCCAAACCTCGGCACAGGAGCGGACTGAAACTGAATGGAGGGAGCTGATCACCAGTTGTGGCCTGAAGGTTGCCGGCATTTACAACAAGGGCGAGGGCAACGAGGGCTTGATCGAGGTAGTGCTGGAATGATGAAGCAAAATCCTTGGTATAGTTACGCTTCGAGAAATAGTAAAAAGGAATCGAAACAGCTGTAGTATATGTTTTTGAGATGAAGTACCGTATAACAAGTTCTGCTTTGTGAGAAGTTTTCGCTAGGGAAGGAGCGACTTACGACGCTAACTCAACAAGTTCAAGCGACAAACGCAGACACCTAGGGAGACTGAGACCGTTTTCTATTGAGCATGTTATCGATAGTGAGTGAATCGCAATCAGAATAATCAATGAGTCAGTCGACTTTCCTAAATGGCCTAATTTCGGCACATCGCACTGGCCAAATTACCTCCGTTCCAACGTCTTCTTTGAGTAGCTGTCTTCTATACGTTAAGTTATATATTTTAGCCTGACAAAATATTATTATAAACACGTCGAATTAGCTCAGATGGGAGAGCGTTAGTCTGAAGCCATTCAGGCAGTACAACTAAAGGTCATGCGTTCGATCCGCATATTCGACATAACTTGAAGAAGATACAAACTCGTACCTTGCTTCATCTCTCTTTTTGCGCACAAGAGAGCGACAGTCCTTTCCTGAACGAGGCGGCATGCCCTTTTTTCGCATTTCCTAAGATGCACGGTCGAGTCCGAGTCCGTATCCGCCACCGAATGGTGGTCGCTGTTTCCATGTTGGAGACCACAAGCACTAGAATGAGTAGTTGAGAAGATGAAAATTAATTTGATTGCAAAGCCCACTAATCTGCAGACACAACCGGTTCTAATAACACGTGAGGGCGACTACTCACGTGACCACTCACTTCTGAAAGCCTGACAATCTGCGGCGCTATCACGAGCCCTCTCCGACTCGTGGTCTCCCATACAAAATCATATGAACAAGGCTGTCCGTACAGCCAGAGGTTCAGGTCGAGTGCCGTCTTGATGATCTGAACTAGATCGTCGTCCTTCTCTTGATCACCGCTCTGAGGATTAGCCCAAGGGAAGAAGGTCAGTGAGAAGTGTTCGGCAGCTTCGCGCATGTCGGAATGTCGGCTTGGAGTATTAGATCTTTCAGATATAGCCGAAGCATGTAGTTGCACGGCAAGTCGCCTATATAAGATATATGCCGAAGACAAGTCTGTTGCGAAGTCAGAACACACACTCCTGCAGGATCGTTAGACTTACTTGAATCAGGATCATGGGCCGGCATTGCCACGCCAATGACGTCTTGTGGGAACAATGTCGACTGCTCACCCTCTGGACGGGTGATGTTCAAGACGTAGGCGATCAGACCATGCTTGATAGCAGAAGTTGGGCTCGATGAACTTTGCAGCAGATCGACCATTGCGACGCCATCGACACCATAGCGGGCAAGATCCCCTTCCATACTCGGCGTGACGGAGGCGTGGACATCGCGGTAAAAATTCTCGACATGGGATTGCATCTGTAGGAACAAGGCGCCGACTCTCTCTGCGACGGTCCTGTCATCCGCGGCTGGAGGCAACACACCAGCCAAAAACGCAGGCGTGTTGGACATGGACGCGGCAGAAGTTCGATTGGGAACTGCAGCAGCGATTGTGGAACTCGGTGGTGGAACCTGAGAGACTTGGACGTATGAGTTGGCCGGCTTGGATAGTGCGACTAATTCGGGCAACGAGCCGCCATATTTGCCCATGGCTGGAGCCCTTCTGTTCTTTCGCTTGAAAAGTAAAAAGGCGATCAGAAAAGCTATGGCAGCTCCAATGACGGCTGTCGCAATTGCAATGCCAGCCACAGCGCCCTTGGAGACGCCATCTGAGCTGTTGGAAGACGAAATGGAAGCCGCCGGTGTCGGATCCGCTCCATTAGGGACTGTTGTCGCAGTTTCGGTAGCAAGCGCGGTGGGCGCTGAAGTGCGAGTTGCAATTTCGACGGTCGTCAATGGACCCCTATCGTTTGGCCGAGTGCTGCTCGGGTCGCTCGGGTCTATGGGCGCATCTCCACCTCCGACTCTCGAAGTAGTCGCCTCCGGATTCTTGACTGTTTCAGGCGTATCGAAGACCTGACTGCAGACAGTCACTGGGTCGTCAAACTCAAACTCTTGAGTGGTCGTACATTCCTCATGGGACATGGCGATGGCTGGTCATGAAGTAATCGGGGCAGACGAGGAGAAGAAGGGGAGAGGAAGAAATCCGCCATGCTTTCAGCTGAGGTCGGTGTTGGCCATCTGGCCTCCAGGGCTGAGTGGCATGAGGCTGAGCCTCGTTCCTTCGAGAGTAATTAGCTTGGACGCTAGATGCCGCCCCCAATCCCTGCGTGACATTTTTAGCCTCTCCCCTCCACCTCCACCTGCAAGCCAGCCAATTTCTGCTGCATCTTCGGGTGCCAACGTCTGCCGTACACGTTGACGCTGCATCTCTTTATCTTATCTCGTTCCGCGACGGCGACCGCCACCACGCTGTCGGCAGGTTGGACGTTCACTGGCGACATGCCCCTTCTCTCCCTCACCACCCACTCAGCCCCATTTCCAGGCGCCCTGCAGGAATAAGCGCCAAGCGATACCCAAACCGCCATGGTGACTTCGCTGAAAAGGTCAGGGATCCTCGTCGATGAAGGCTAGAGCCCCATAGGCCGGAAGGCAAGCTAATGCCATGGCAGCGGAAATCAAGCTGCACTCGCGGGCAAGACGGCAAGGCTTTGGCAGAGGGCCTAATCATCAACCACGCCGAGAGGTTGATCTGCACAGAAAATGGCCCTTGTGCCTTCCATCGCGCTTTGCGCCCGTTTCCACACCTCTTCCCCATCGAGGAGAAGACGCAACGAGAGAAGAGACAATGTCTTACGCTTTACCTTTTGCCATTTTGCAGCTTCTCGCCTCTGCAGCCGTAGCCACGCGCATCCCTGCCATCCACGTCCCCCAGGAAACGCCCTTCGTTCCGGGCTACTTTCGCAATGAGGCTCTGATTCCGCAGCCGACGTCGCCGCCGCAGGTGCTCCGGCGACTTGTGCCTCGCGATCGCGCGACATGTGGGTGGATGATTGCAGATGGCAGCGCGAATACCTGTGGCGATTCGCAGTACTGCACTACTTCGGCGTCGGGCGAGTTCGGCGTCTGGAACTGCTGCAACCCAGATTCGTGCTATCTTCAGGATAGTTGCAGCTACTCTGTAGAATGGTGAGCCCGCTCTCTGTCGTCTCAATTGAAATAAGGCACTGACGCGACTGTAGTTCGGGCGACTCGCCATACTGCGTGACATCATTCATGTCCAACGATGGAACGACATACTCACGATTCATGTGCGGGTCGACATCCTCGATTGTCTTCATGGCATACAGCTCTGAAGACACGCCGCAATACACATCGAGCATCCTCTCGGTTTCTGAAGCTTCTGCCGAATCCGTCTCCGCAGCGTCCGCAAGTGCTGCCTCTCAGTCCGCAGCAGACGCAAGTCGTTCAGCTGAAGCCGAATCTCAGACTGCATCACCAGGCGGCACATCAACTTCTTCACCAACGAATAGCTCGGACAAGGACGACGGTCTCGGCGCAGGCGCCATCGCGGGCATCGTTGTCGGAGCAGTCGGCGGCATTGCCCTCATTGCCGGGCTCGCCTTTATCGCATACAGAATGAAGAAGAAGAACGCCGGTTCAAGGCCCGCCGAAATGTCTGGCGTACCGCAGCAACACATGGAGAACTATGCGAAGCCCTATCAGTACCAGCACGTCCATGCGCAGAACGGCCCACCTCAAAACTACTACGACGCGTCTCCTCAACCACCGAGCGAACTTCCGAGTTCGCCTCAGCATCCTCAGGAATTGCCGGCTGCACATCAATGATGGAGAGTAGGAGTATGACTGGTGGACGTAGTTGTGATGTTTGTAATGTGAAGGGACTAGTGTGCTATTGAAAGAAAGTTCTCTCGGCCTGTACAAAAGATGAAGGCCGTCATCATGGGATTAATAGAAGAACCGCGGAGCGGGACTCTGTACATCTAAGTAAAAGAGCATAGCGAACAAGGTTTAGTATTGTTTCTATCCATACCACGGAACTTTACATTAACCTTAAAATGATCCATCTAGTCAGGGGTATGAAGAGGAGTACCTCACCTCCATCTCTCACAGATTGAAGGCATATACATCCTGTACCATTTCTCATCCACCGTTTCCTCGTCCACATTCTCTCCACACCCCAAATCCTTCGCACCCGCCTGCACAAGCAACTCCTCAATCTTCGCAAACCCCCTCGCGCGCGCAAGCCCGAACGCAGAAACACCCCGCTCATCCAATCGATCCACATCCGCGCCGCGCTCCAACAGAAACTCCACGAGGGCCGCCTGGCTGAACCGCACTGCATACATCAGCGCAACATGATGCAGCGCCAGCATATACTCCCTATACTCGCCTGCTCCGCTAAACTGCGCTGGACAGAAGAAATTCATCAGCAAGCGCAGCACCCCAACATCCCCCCCCTTTACAGCCCTCACAACATACCACCGAAACAACCATCTCTTCGTCTGATCACTCATCCCCAACCTCCTCTCCTCAGCCCCCAACAACAACACCTCCACCACCCTTCCCTGCCCACTCTCAACCGCACGCTCCATAACCCTCGGTCCCGGCCCCAATCCACCCTCAACCCCCCCAACCGCCGCAAACACAACCCCATCCCCAAACACACTCATCCTCGCGCTCCTCCACACCCCCTCCACCGCTCCCCCAACCCACGGCCGCGCCAACAACCACGCAACACAAACCTCATCTCTCGCACTCATACGCCCATCCACACCCTTCCACCCCTTACCCCCACTCGCCACACCCTCACAAATCACACGCAATAAATCTCTCTTCATGGAACGTGAGAAATCGTTTGCGAGCACCTGCGCGAAGCACAGACACGTGTTGATGCGGCGGCTCATAGGGCACGCGATTTGGCGGTTGTAGGTTGAGCGGGCGGAGTTTGTGAGGGCGGAGGTGAGGAGCGAAATGGCGAGGGAAGGGGGTGGGGAGAGGAGGGGGGAGGTGGTGCTGGTACTGTGGGGGGAAGAAGAGAAGGAGAGGGCGCGGTGGTAGAGGGAGAGGTTGGGAAGGGTGAGGAGGGTGGAAAGGGAGTAGAGGAGTTCGGTGTTGAAGCTTTCTGACAGGGTTAGTTGGAGATAGAGCGACAAGAGGGAGGGACGTACGGCAGACGGTGCGGAGGGAGAGGAGCGTGTGGAGCGAGTGGCATGAGCGGCGGGGGTGGGGGATGTGGTCTAGGACGATGTGGTGGACTAATATAGGCAGGATGTCGGCGGGTAGCTTGGTCAGGTCGAAGAATACTGGTTCTTTTGTGGCTTGTTGTTCTTCCTGCTCTTTTATATTCTTTGCGCTTGAGGTAATGAAGTTCGATCGGATGCGGGTCCAGAACGCGGAGGCACGTGGAGGCGCGTTTAGGGAACCCGTGTTTTGCATTCCGTCTTGATCATGTGCATGGCTCTTCGCTTCCCTTGCCCTTGCAGCGTTTATCAATTTCATGCTTTGGCTCTTTCTTTTGAGTAGTCGATGCGACCA